TCCATTCTTTACTGGAACTAAATAAATAGCGTTTTGAGTTTAATGTAAAAGATCTCTTATTACTTTTTTTTTTTAAATAAACTTAGCGTTACGTAATTTACAGACGATCCCTTAATAGTTATTGTTTAGATATAATAATTTATAACTCTAAACGCATAGACGGCTGGAGTTATGTTCTAAATTTGAGTCATTTTAATTATCTGCAGTTCTGTTACTTAAATGATTATTTAAATATTGACATGTTCACTTACTACTATGAAATGAGTTGCATATTTGGGCATTCTAGCTAAATAACTAATAATAATAACGAGCAGCCGTAGCGCAGTGGTAGCGCACTTGCCTCAGAAACGTAAGATCCGTGGTTCAAACCCCACCTCTGGGCAAGTTTGCGACATCGGTTGGGAAGGAGGCGTGAACTTCCTATTAAATGCTCTTCCGCGGTGCTCTGTGATAAGACCGTAAGGACTTCTTGGGGCACCTTCATCAACTTGAAAAAAAAAAAAAAAAATTCTTTGGTATAACTTTTTTTAATCCTACTATCTTTTTTTTATCTCCAAAATGTTATTGATTTCACCCTTTCGTTGGGGATGACTTTGATAAGTTAATAATTTGATAATGGGTTATAATTAACCTTCCTAAGAAGTGTTTTTGAAAGTTTTTTTTTTGAGATTTACTAAATAAGAACACGGTATACCAACAAAATTATTCATCTATATTCGAGTGATATTAGCAAACTTTTTGCCACAGTGAATAAAGAACTTCCCAGTGGTTCAAATCTAATAAATTAGCATTAAATACTGACAAAACTAAATGGGCTCTCTTTTATTCGCTTAGGGAAAAAAAAATTTTTACTCTTAAACTTGCCTCAAATCTTTATTGATGAAATTGAAATAAAAGAGACTCCGTTATTAAATTCTTAGGTGTTTATCTCGATGAGAACATTAATTTGAATCAACATTTTAATTATGTATGCCCTAAAGTCTCTAAAAACATTGAAGAAAAACTTAAGACAAATTTATTTCTCATTTATTCACTGCTACATAAACTACGCTAATATTGCCTGGGGAAGTACTGAAAAAAGTAAATTACATTTTTAAATTACAAATTCATTTAAAAAAGATCTTAGCAAACAATTCAGCTTTGTCTTTATATGAGGTGACAAAATCTTAACCATGCAAAAGAGGTAAAATCACAGATTAACTCTCGTTATAGATGCTGTTAAAAATTCTCCAGAAATCACAAGAACCTTTTTTAGATGAAATAAAAGATTTTGTGTCCTGAGAACAGCGGGTTTTAAGGTTAGACAAAAACCTATTTACAATGGTTTCTAGCGACAGTAAACATACGTCTGTTTTATATAGAATTTTTTTGCTGATAGATATAAAAGTAATGGTTACGATTGGAAATTGCAGCAGCACAATAAGAGGAAAACCATGGAGAAGAGTGAGGCTTGACTCGGTATTGTCGAGAGGTAATTAAGGATTCCATGCCAGCTTGAATCTAAGCTACGTAAGAAGCACACATTTGTCAGCAGGAAGATCACGGAATGAGTCCCAGTCAGCTTTAAGGTAATTGTAAGAGGTACAATGATAGGGGGATTCTGATAATAAAGAAGAATGAGATAATAGTTTTAGAGAAATCGAACCGTGATCATAAGCACCTCAGGATGAATGTGGAGAAACTGAACATTGACTAAGATCAGAAACAAGACACAAGCCAAGTAGAGAATGGTATGTAAGTAATGCAGATTGTCTGGAAAGCGAAATGGAAAGTTGACTGTTTATGTTAGAGATTGAGAAAGACAAAAGTTGTAGGCCTTAACGCCTGCAGAGTCACTGACGCTTGAGCCGAGCCATTCAGTAAAAATAAAAGCCCAGGCCAAGCATGTGACTATTAGAGTCTTTCCAAATTAAAGGAAGATAACCATCAACACTAAGATAAGACAGCTGAACTCAAATTATTTTCACAAAAAGCAATTAGGTCTGGTGAACTTTGCAAGAGATAAGACTCAACAGAAGAAAAGTTGCTTTGAAGACCACGAATATTAGTGAATGATAGATTTAGAGAACTTGGTTAACGGCGATGGTTTTTTGTGTTTTATAGTTTTTGGTGCTTTAGTCATTTTTAAATTGGACTCAAAGCACAGATAGTGCTCAGTACCCTATTTATTTTCCCAAGCAATTGTCTCATTACTATTAATTAACCTTAGGCCGTAACATATGTAGCCTCGAAAATGCACACCAAAAGTACGAACAGAGACACCATCCAAGCGCAATATGGCACTGTTTTTACTCTGATATTTTACAGCTGTTGGTGGAATCAGCCTCTCTGAGAGCTACCACAGAGTTAGGGAAACATGACTACCAGCCGGTCTCAGAACCATAAAAATGAGTTTTTGAGCTGTACCCTTATTAGGAGATAATAGAGTGAATTGCCTAGTCATAAAAAACAGAGACACAAGCAAAACTCATGTATTGAGTCAAGAAGATCCAGCATTCAACAACCTAAACTGGAAACAATGTATTATAAATACATTTACGCTAGCCTAATAGATGAAGAAGGGGTGGGAGGCTGTTTAACTGATAGAATCTGTTTACCCCTTAAGGATACAGATAGAATCTGTTTACCCATAATAAATAAACAGATTTAATCCGTTTACCCATAATTAAATAGTATTATGTAGTATATCGCAATTGCTGTAGAAACATTAACATTTAGTCTTTCAAATGTTTGAAAGACTAGATGTTAATGTTTTTAAATCAAATGCTCTAAGGTCAACTATTAACTAAATGTTTCTGATATCTGCTGATAGCATATCTGATATACACGCTTAATGGATTATATAAAAAAAAATTATATTTGTGAACTGTAGCTGATATCTATTATTTTTCTTTGGTGGTTGAAGATGTTGCAACATGTAGGAAAAAGTTACAACAACAACGAGGTCTTTTGAAACTGGATATTTAAACCGATTTTGGATTCTTCAACTTTAACGAGGAACCTCATATTAAGAATTTTGGGTAAAATCTCAACAGTCTTACTAAAACCTCAACAGTCCGTCCAACTTAATTCAAGGTTGCACTTTTCTTTGTTTTTTCCTAAATAAACTACAACATGCTAACTCGCTGTTGACCTCAGATTTGATTTGATCAGATTCATTTAAATCAAGATTTCTATTACTTTCTTTGGGAGATACTATTACTAACATCAATATCTTCTAATTCAGACAATAAAGATTCAATATTCTTTTCAAACTAATTTTGATTTTTTACCTTTAATTTGTTTGTTCTTGGATATTTTCTGTTTTGATGTTTTGATCTTCAATTTTATTTACTGTGATTATTTTTCCTGGTGCAACTTTTTTTTTTTTATTCTTTTGGTTTGTTCTGCTGCCTCATTGCTACAACGCTTCTTGAGAGTATCTTTATTGAATATTTCTTTTATGGTCTCATCACCATGGTCTTTAATCATATTTGCAAGCCTTCTTAATATTTATTTAATAATTCAATGACCTTCATTGTTATTTATGAGCACTAAGAGTTTGTCTCTTCCTTTTAATGACCGCAAAAAGACTTTCCGAGCCAAATATTGTTTTCAATGATCAGCATAGTTTTAATCATTGGCAAAGCATTTTACAAATTTTTCCATGGTAATTTTATAAGAGAATATTCTACACGGGCTTAATTGCGCAGGTTATTTTTATATTGATTGCAAAAAATACAATATAGTAGACAATAAAGTATTTCCTTTGTTATACTTGACTTTCAAAGATCTGAAAACAACATTAGGTGGTTGCAGCAGATGTGTGGCAGTTGAGTCAAGTAAAACGGATACTATTTTCCGAGTATGCTTTTATGATATCAGATGACAATTGCGAAGCAAAAATCTCCAATAACAACATTCGTTCCTGTAAGAGTTCACTCTATGTAGTAGTTTGCAGTTTTAAAAACAATCATGAAAAAACAAAACTGACCAGCCGCACTCTCCCTGTACATAATACTAACGGTTCCTTAGGAATGCATTTTTCTTTCTATAAGTTAAAAACCACATTTACAAATTAGTGTTTAAGAGCCTGAGTTATTACTCACATTTGTCTCATCATAATTGAATATAATAGTATTAGGAATGTTTTGCAGTGTAACAGATAACTTATTAAATATGAACAAACTGAATCTCTAACAACTTCAGCTCCTACCCGTTTTACAATTGCACAAGTTAGAGCCACTTCATTATATGATAATTTCAAAAAGATAAATATAACTAGATATGAAAAAAAGTTAAATAGGTGGTTATTTTGCAATTACATTATCAGGCCAAAACTTTTTTTAACTAACAAGCAAAATTATCTGTCACAGCTATAACCAGTCACCCCGTTTTACGGTAATTATATTGCGTAGTATATTTACGCAAGTATGATGTTAGTGTTTTAATGTAATTTAAAGAAGTTAAAATTAGTTTAGATAGGGGATGGGGGGTTATAGGGGAGCAATTCAACGACAATATGACAATTTATTATACGAAGTTTTATTATAGTACGTCTATTTATTATAACTTCTACAGTACTGAGAAGAAATATTTTGTGGGACGTCCAAGGTATAGCGTGTAAATCTTTTCTGTACACCTATCTTGACATGGTCATAAATTTTCAAATAGTATGATCATATAAAGTCTCGAAACACCTCATTTGCGGGAGATTTTAAATTTTACATATTATCTTTAGATGGCCATAAAACGTTCTAATAAAATTTGTAACTTCTCAATGAATTCTAATGTAATCAGAATACATTTTTGATTTTTGTCTAAAATTGATTGCCTTTCACAAATAGGTTGGGATGGTAATTTTTTTTTGGCTTTTTTTTTGACGTGATTTAATTACTGTGATATTTGTAAAAACATTAGCATTTCACATGCCAATGGTTTGACATGTGAAAGGTATTATTCTACAATTTTTTTTCTCATTTTTAAAAGATACTTATTTTACACCCAACAATTCATATAGATAAATAAAAGTAAAAAATATTAGAATTTCAATTACATTTTAACGACCATATCACTACTTTCCATCTCTTTTATTAAATCCATGTGCCTAAAAGAATTTGGTTCACGATTGAATTGCATCAACAGTTTTAAGCGAGAAGGGCTATCCGTACCATAAAATAATTGTTGTAGTTGAACTAAGCATTGCACTTCTAAAACATTCATACATTTCACATCAAACTCACCAGCCATCAATACAATACCTTTGCTCTCTTTAAATTCTGTATAGTAAACCAGACTCAACTGCCATGGCGCATTGTCACCATGAGCCTGATAATTAATCAATGAAGTAAAAAAACAACGATTTTGATTTGTAAAATGTGATAATACAAATTCGTATCCTTCTGATTTGGGCAACGGATATAAAAATATTGGATATTCTTTTTTTCTTTTCATGATGTGATCAAATATTGTATGAGGAATAACAGCTGTTACATTGTCTGCAGATTTAAAATATGCATTCCAAATTTTTCCTATTTCTTCCCCAGATTTATCTTCTAACAAATTTAACTTCATAAGTTTATCTAGTTGTCCTGGTAATTTTGATCCAGCTTTTTCAGCATTTTGCTGTTGCTGTTTTGAAAGAGACATTTCAAGTTGTTGAATCTGCTCAGACCATTTAGCTGCCTCTTTTGTAACTTGAAGATTTTGTTTTTCTTTCTTTATAGTATATATTCCTGACTCTTTAACCTGTTTGATTTTATCAGCATATTTTTCAAAATATGGATTGCTTGTTAACTGATCATTATCCTCGCTTTTAACAGACTTGCAAGTCAAAGACAAATGAAAGTTACGATTGTACCTTTGAAAATATGTAGCAGCTCGAGCTATTCTGAACATTCTTATTTTGTATAAACTAAATAAACAAAAAAATCTTAAACTTTATATATACACACACATATATATATATATATATATATATATATATATATATATATATATATATATATATATATATATATATATACATACATATATATATATATATATATATATATATATATATATATATATATATATATATATATATATATATATATATATATATTATTACAGGCTAAAGAGTCAGGAATATATACTATAAAGAAAGAAAAACAAAATCTTCAAGTTACAAAAGAGGCAGCTAAATGTGGAGTGCCACAAGATCCTTAAACATTAGGCTAATATTATCAAAAAAAATTTTTTTTAAAGTATGTTGAGTTGGCAGGGCAGTGTTTGTGGCATTGTTAAATTGATGGCGCCACTAGAGACATGAATAATCATCGTCCAAAGTTCATAATAAAATTTAAAAAATTACATATCTAAACTAAAAACTATAACTTTTCAAAGAAAATAAAAAAACAAGCACTCCTTTGGTTAGTTCCCTAAGGCAGTTGCCTAGATTTGCCAAATGGCAATGGCCTCTGCATGTTGGGTCTCAAATGAAGCGAAATTAATAATTTCAAAAATATTCATTATTCTAAAAAAAACTTTGAGAAAAAAATTCATAATTAAAATATCTTGTGGTACTCCCTAAAAAAATTTTTTTATTCAGAAATTTTTTAAATCCAGTATTATTTTATTATATAGATCACATTTACACAATTACATAGAACACAGTAACAATGGGTGTCAGTTAACATTTTTTTAAAAAAGTTGTTTTTAGCACCATCCTAATATATATATATATATATATATATATATATATATATATATATATATATATATATATATATATATATATATATATATATATATATATATATATATATATATATATATATATATATACATATATACATATATCTATATATCTATATATCTATATATGTATATATGTATATATGTATATATATATATATATATATATATATATATATATATATATATATATATATATATATATATATATATATATATATATATATATATAAACATTTGTTACATAAATTTTCATAAAACTTTAGTTTAACTCATTTAATGGCTTTAAATAAGTTTCAAATATTTTTTCAATTTATAATTTTTTCACATTGTATTATGATCTTAGTTGAATGTAATGTCATTACCATCAGTATGTTACACATATAAGTATGTTATAGGTAAAATAACAAACACAAATAATTAAAATAAAAATACAAAAATTAATGGAATAAACAGATACATATATGTAAACAGAATGGTTGTTGAACATTCTGTAAAGTATACTTCACAAAGTATTTAATGCTCATTAAGTCTATCTGAATAATTAAAAATTATAATTTTTAAAACTATTAACTTTTATTTATTTTCTTATATTATTGTATAAAAACTAAAAATATTTTGTAAAAACCACAAAATAAAAATTTACACTAGTTTTGTTTATTAACAACCCAAGATAGATAAGTGTTCCAAATAAGGGCTGCCATGTTGGAAAATAAAACTCTATGTTCAAGTGGAATATAATAAAAGTTTGCTATCTGAACAGGTGGCCAAATGAGCCAGTTCATTTTAAGTGTTTGAAAATATGATGACTTAAGTTTATTTATTATTTGTTCAATTGATTTATTTTCAAGTGCATCTGCAACTATTAAAAAGTTCCCAATAAAAAATGGAGCAAATAAAGTTTGATCAAGTATCATTTTCTGGATTGCTACTCGAACTTTATTTCCTTTAAAAAGTTTATCAAGTGTAAGATACCAGCATCGTAATGTCGGTGCAACCATAAAAAAACCCATACAAGTAAGCTTTAAAGTCCGTCTCATTTGATGATTGTGAAAACCACGTTGTTCAATAACTTGTTGGGCTATCAAATCTCCAAAGCAGCTTATCGTACCTCAAAAAGTGTTAGTGTAAAATTTTATATATAGAAAACACATGTAATTGAAATACCTCAAAAAAGAGAATAAATATCTTTAGTAATTAGTACTTTTCTAAATATATTTAATAAAAAACAAATACCAGTAGTTGCCATTGTTGTTGCAAATGGATATTTGCTAAGTGCTTGTGTGTATCTTAGAACAATGGATTTCATTTTAAAACTGCTTGTATAAAATAAAAACATAACTTAAAACAAAACAAAAAAACATTAAACTAAAATAATCAAAAAAAGTGAAAAAGTTTTTGTTGAAAGCAAATAGAGTTCAATAAAATTCATCTTAAAAACGTGCTTTTTTGGACACAACCATTCAATGTTTATGATGTTTACGTTAGGTAGGTACAACTTACAATCGCAACATTTTTTGTGCATTTTTTCTTTCTATATTTTCGTAACATTTTTTTATGTAAAGTATATTTTTGATGGAAGCTATATTAAAAGTTTTGATGGAAGTTATATTTAAAAGTTATATAAAACATAAAACGATCATCGGAGGAGGGTTTGCTATGGTGCGATCGATCCCCTCCCCCTCTTGTTTTATGCAAGTTTTCTTATAAAAACTGAGCTAGATTTTTGAACTGCTTTTTTTTTAAAAAAAAAACGATCCCCCTCCCGCAAAAAAAATTTATTGCACGGACCTGAGTATATATATTTTAAATAGTAATAATATAAAGCTCAGTAAATTATTACTCTCGCATTTGCAAGTAAAGAATGGGGTCGCAAGTTTTATGGTTTTTGTTATTACAAGGCTCCAATCACGGAAGTTTTTTGTAAATCATTCTCATTTGATATAATTACAAACAAATCGTTTGACTTGAACATAAACGTTTAAAGTTTGCTCCATACCTGAAAGTTATCTCAAAAATTAATATAAGCTGCCGTGATCTGCCGTGACCGATAGATTTTTGGTGTTCCAGAGAGGAAACTTCTAGAAATGGTAAAAACTAAGGTTTGCAATACTGATACTTGCATTAAATAAGAATGTTTAACAGAAACAGTTATCGGAGCCTTGGAACAAAATAAACCTAAAAAAATTAGGACCCACTGTGAGCAAGAAAAAAAAAGGTAACTTTTTTAATATCATGAAATAAATCTAAATTCATCAAAAAAATAAATTTATTTAAAAAAAATTCTTTGTTTAAAAATAGAGACCAAAGAAGGTCAAAACCCCTCTATTTGAGGGGGTTGTCAACTTTACTACGCCTTAAATTTTGAACGTTAAAATACTTTTTTAAAAAATGAGAATTTTACAGATGAGTTTTAGCCGCTTTCATAATGGAAAAGTTTTTTTAAAATTCTAATACTTCCCGCTCTTTTTACAAGTATTTAAAACTTTGGGCCCTAATTTTAAAGTAATATTTTTCCTTAACTCTGATCACCGTGATCTTTTTAAAAACATATTACTTGTATTAGTATGAAATTAGAATCTTGAAAGCAAAAAATCTTAAAATTTGTCTTTTTATATATATTTAATTGTTTTTTAATTAGAGAATGGTTTAAACGACAAAAGTTAATGTTTACATTAATATTAATTTCCATTTACAATCAGTAAAAGTTTTCAAAGGTTAGCATGCTCTTGTACTGTAGTTTAACATTTACCTAAAAAGCACGAAATGATCATTTGCATATCTTTTCAAAAAAGTTCACCCCGTAATGTAATAAATTTTCAATCCGACAATGACTCAGACCGTTGACCTTACTCTTGCTTGTTGCACAGAAGGAATCAAAAGTGCAATTTGTCTTTATTTTTGCATGATGAATAAATTTCTTCCATTACTTTGATTGCGCGCTCTGTGCATTGATTACTTCTGGGTATCTGTAGTATGGATGACCCAAACCCATATCATTACTTTCTGTATTTTCAAAACTCTTCGAACTTGTAGTTTAAAATAGAATCTATGATTACTTTATTAAAAACATTTTTTTTTACCCAAATCAGTTTGGCTTTCAAAATGATCGTTCAACTAAGCATGCAATTATTGAAATAGTAAACCAAATAACTAATGGTTTTGGGAATAATAACTTTACTTTAGGAGTATTTCTTGATTTACCAAAAGTATTTGATACAGTGGATCATTGCATTCTCTTAGATAAAATAAGACATTACGGAATAGTTAATAAAACCTATAATTGGATTAAAAGCTATTTTACCAACAGAAAACAATATCTACATAATGTCCATTCCGGAGTATTAAATGTTTTATGTGGAGTCCCGTAGGGATCAATTCTTGGTCCACTCTTTTTTCTTATATATATAAATGGCTTCTGTAATGCATCCTTAAAACTGAATTCAGTCATGTTTGCAGATGACACGAATCTATTTCTTACCAACAATGATATCAAAACATTATATGCTGAAATGAAAATAGAACTAGTTAAAGTAAACAACTGGTCTAAAGCTAACAAACTCTCGCTTAATGTTGAAAAGACAAATTATATACTATTCCATAAAAAAATACAAGAGGAAAATCTTCCTCTCAAGTTGCCTGAACTATTCCTAAATGATCAACTAATTAAAAAGCAATCCAATATAAAATTCTTAGGAATCATTGTTGATGAAAAGTTATCCAGGCTTCCTCATATAATATACATCCAGTCAAAAGCCACCAAAATCATAGGTTTGATGTATCGAGTTCGATTTTACGTCAATACACAAAGTCTGAAATTAATCTACTTTGCGCTAAGACATAGCTGCATCAGCTATGCAAATATTTTATGGACAAATACTCAAACATCAAAGCTTAAAAAACTGTATAGTTTGCAAAAACATGCTTGCAGAATCATTTAGTATAAGGATAGACGTGAACACGCTTAACCCTTAACAAGTGATATGAAAATGATGAATGTGTTTGAAATAAATGTCTATTAGCATTTAATTTTCATGTATCGTTACAATATCTCTTCTATAACCTTTAATAACAAGTTTGAATTAAATAAAAATGAAAACTATAATCTTAGAGCAAATATGTTAAACACATATAAACTGCCTCGGATAATAAATAAATATTCAGAATATAGCATTTCATATCAAGGTCCTAAAGCATGGAATCTTTTCAAAAATGATTCAAAGGTACGGTAAATTCGTAAAGTTTATTCAAGTTTATAACAAAAAAAGAAATTTTTAGCATTTTTGGATAATGTTACCACTCTACTTTTATTGTTGTTGTTGTTGTTGTTGTTGTTGTTGTTGTTGTTGTTGTTGTTGTTGTTGTTGTTGTTGTTGTTGTTGTTGTTGTAGTTTAACAATCTTATTAGCGAATTACGCATTTTATTACGATATTTATTACGATATTTAATTGAAATTTTATTACGTAAAATATATTTTACGAAATTTAATTACGTATTGCGTATTACGATATTTTATTGAAATTTTGTTAAAGGGGCTCTATAAAAAGATTGCGATGACGTACTGTCATCTTCATCTTCTTTGAGCCCCAATCTGTGTTTTTTTTATGAAGCACGAAGTTGTAAAATTCTTATGTTGTATTAAAACAGAAAAAAAAAAAGGATGGTTCCAGTGATTTTTCAAAGAGCTTAAAGCCTTTTTGTATGGATTCAGTATTAAAGTCGTTTTTGTTGTACAGTTGGTCGGAAAACCAATGGTCTACCCAGCCATACGATATAAATTGACTCTCTGCAGAACTGTCATTGTTAAAGGAATTAAAATGAAGGCCAGGATCGCTAGTATAGATTTGGAGTTCCACCTTGCATTGCTGATGTTGGGTATTTTCTGAAACCTGATCAATGGAAAATGTTCCCTTTCCTCAAAAAATCGGAACACTTGAGTGAGATAAAACAAAAATTTCATATCATCTCTCCAGCCTGATGTTTTGAGAATTACTTCTGTTCCGTTTTGAGCAATTTTCACTAAATCTAACAGATCTCGTAAACGGTGCGTCGGATTTACATAATTTTTTCAATATTTGAAAGATAATTTAATCTGCTAAATATTTGTTAAGAAAAAAGTTTAGTTTTTCATTTTTTTGAGAAAATATTGCCTAAAGTTTGTGGAGCTGCTCAACTTGCCCCACCGGGGTATGTTGAGCAATAGTGTGTGGTAAGTTGAAAAATCAACAAATAAATGAATATGTATGTTACAAAACTTGGGTGAATCATCAGTAAAACTTTCACTACCAGTAAGCGTGTGTATAGTTGATACAAACTTTTATTTTAAACACATAATGACGTAAAAAAATAGAAAAAATTAAATAGTAAAAAAGTATCATTAAATATAATTTTATGCAACTATCTTGAACTTTAAAGCCCGATTTAAAAATTAAAATTTTAAAATTATGTATAAATAATGTACCGCTCTATTATTTCTCATCAAAGTTGTTTCTTTGTATTTGGCAGCTCAGTTTTATTTATTTTTCTCAAAGCTGCTCAACCTACCCCTACTAAACAAGGTGACTCATTAGTTAGGTTTTTAAGACTTAAGAAAAAAAGTTAATTTTAATAAACAGTCCGATAAGTTGGCTTTTTACTAACACTTAAGTGATGATAAATAAAAAAGTTTATAAGCATTCAAGAGAAAAATTGCAATTGTGGTCCAAAATAGAAAAAGTGCCCGCGTATCTTTCTCAACAGCTTTTCAAAAAATTTTTGTTGCGCATTGTGTTAACATTCTTATTTCCAAACTTTCATCCATTAGATGTTTTGTCATGTGATACGTAGTTTTTGAGATATTTTAACTGCCCAACTTGCCCCTATGCTCGATTAGCCCCGCTCTACTCTACTTCTTCAACAGCTGAGATACAAATGGATATTCGATGTTTGGCGATTGTGTTTTACTTCCACCACCGAACGGAGGATTCTATCTAATACATGATGTTGACAGCTGATAAACTGTAGTTTGTTGATGCGTTTCTCTGTGTACATTAGTTGCAATATTACAACAACACCATTCTTTTTCCGATATTAACGCTGGTGGTATCTGCAACAATGATCTGCATTGAATTCTATTGGTAAAATTGTGCGGCCGTGGCGCAAAACGAGCTTTGGACATTTCTAGCGTCACGGTAAGGAAGGAGGCGTGAATTTCCTGGTTAAATGCGCTTCCGTGGTGCTCTGTGACAAGACCGTTAGGACTTCTTGGGGCAACTAAAATAACAACAAAACAAAAAAAATTCATTGAGGACTTTAGAAATTCCTTGAACAATAGTTAAAGTCCTGCCATCAACCAAGCTAAGGACATCTAATTTTATTTCTTTTCTTTTACTATTTCGAACGACCA